CTTTAACTTAAAGACACACAGGGGCTGCTAAACTCTGAAAGACAAAACAAAGTTGGACGTTAACTAATTAACTTAAAGGTTTAAACTCAGAAAAACAAATCAAACTCACCTCAGCTGTCACCCACTGTGGGAGTGAAAAGAGTGAGTAACAGGAAGCACAGTCCATATATAATGTGTGCCAGTTGAGTTCAATTAAGGTACAAAAAAACTCAGAAACCAATCAGTGATGAGAAAGTCAAGACAGTGAGTGAGGCGTGAGAGAGTGAGGAAATGGGTAAATACAACAAGAAGCTTTACTACACTAAGTAAATATAAACACTATTAAAGGAAAGTCAATTTTAGTTTTGTGCAATAATCTTCTTCTAATACTTTTGAAAGTATTTCCACAAAATAAAAATGCCTGAGTTCAATTCCACCATCAGGCCGGGGTCTTTCTGTATGGAGCTGCATGTTCTCCATGTGTTTGCGTGGGCTCTCCCCAGGTCCCCCAGCTTCCTCCCACAGTCCAAAGACATGCACTTAGTGGGGGTAGGTTAATTGGAAACTCTAAATTGCCCATAGGTGTGAATGTCAGTGTGAATGGCTGCCTGTGTATATGTGTTTGCCCTGCGACAGACTCGCGACCTGTCCAGGGTGTACCCTGCTTCTCACCCTAAGACAGGTGGGATAGGCTTCAGCACCCCCCGTGACCCTGAAATAGGATAAACAGAAGTAAATGGATGGATGGATAAAAATGCTGTGAACTCTTTAAGTTGCTATTTTGTTTAGTAACGTCACTGAAGCAATGTGGTGACCTGCATTTTTCCATATTGGACATTGTGCAGATAGTGTACAATGATGGTCTGTCAACCTGCCTGAGAACCATGATAGCATCCTCTCATTAAAGTCATTCAGTGTCTGTCTTCATGCTAAACAGAATGTGGAACATTGTCTCAATATTTGGGACAGTGGGACAAGGGATAAAAAGTGCTGTACAGTCCTACATAAAGTGGAACATCCAGTTGCTGCGTTGCATAATACCCTATGAGAAATAAACACCGCTCAGTTTTTGCATTGATTTTATAGTAAAGGAATACAAGTACTGCTTTTTCATTTACAAAACAGGTCAGCAGCATGAGAAATCTTAAGAAAAATAAATGCATTGCCAGCTGTATGTCTCAGTCCTTCCATATTCAGTCAGTGTATATTACAAAGAAACACAAACACTGACACAACTCCTTGGCCTGACTACCTTGCTTTGATGTGGTATAACAGGACATAGGTCATATTTATGTCTGTGAGAAAACGTCAAAACTAACAATAATTCAGGCCTCTGGCTTGGATGAAATGATGAAATTTGCACAACAGTTCCCATGACTTGATGTGATGTTGTAACATGATGCTTCTTTGTGCCAAATACAGTGAAAAATGATGCTCTCATGCACTGCTCTTTTCCCATTTTACATATCCAACTTTCGCCTTGATTGGACCTTTTGACCAGTCGTTTCTGGCTCTGGGCCGAGTCTTTGACACCCAGCGTAGATCTGCATAAATTAAATGAAAAGTATTGCCTTGTTTAATGGAAACTAAAGAGGCCGACACAGAAAAAGGAGAGGTTCAGTGTGAAGAAGTCCCATGTGCAAGGAGGAAGTATCACTGTGGCACAACGCTTATGGAACAGTGTTCCTTTTTTCTGCAAAAACTCACCCCAACTGAACTTTCAGCATGGCACAGTCCTCACATGCACTTTCTCTGAGTATTATGCAACAGCTTGCTTCCCCATTTACACTAGCTTTCAGGGCACAGTCTCCATAAAGATGTCTTTACATTTTTCATTAACAGGATTAAATAATTTACAGATTAGCTCATAGGTTTAGTATATCTGGGATTAGCTTCTCTTGTTTTTAACACAGCAAAGCTATAGTCCTGAAAGAGAGAAAACATACATGGTGAGCTACATTACACAACTATGCTGCCTAATAACCTGATGTTGTAATGGAAAGAAAAACAGAATCATATTGTCTATGTGCTCATTTGAATGTAAGAGACACAAAAAAGCATGTGCACAGTATTTTTTCCCCATGTTTCTGTGTACCTTGAACTGCCCGTTAGTGGTGCTTACTTGGAAAGAGCAAATGAGGACAATTTAAGCAACCACGAGCACTGCCCGCACAGGCTTTGGCAAACCTTATGACCTCATGTAAAAATATAATCAGACGAAACAAAGCAGTTAATGAAAATCTGCTTTTCTCCCTAAGCTTCCATAACAAATATTTATCCTTAGTTATATCTTCTAGGTTACACAGCCATTCCAATTCTTATTTTTGAGAGGCCTTTATGGAAACCTAAACTATCAAGTTAAATTAAATATTTTGTTTACTTGATAAATGACATGCAGTTTCGGAGATTTCTAAAGCAGCACTTCCAGGCGCAGCTATAAGGGTAAAATTGATGTTGTTGTAGAACATACAGTATTCAACACTTAAAGCCCCTGAAAGGTAGAGTGAATAACATTATCTCAATATAATAGGACTTCGATACATCAGAGCACCTTTGATGAGGCCCAGACTGTGATAACTACAGAAATGGTTTCCAAAGTGGGGTCTGGGGACTCCTAGGAGTCTATGACTCATAGCCCAGGGATGCAAAGAATAAGGAGTAGTAAACTATACAAGTTTTTTGCCATATTAAAAAGTGTTTATCTACAGATGGGTACTAAATTTTTAGGACATTTTCTAATGTTATTGACCACCCAAAGCGCATAACCCAATCGCACACATTCATACGGTGCTATTTTATGTGCACTTTAAGCATTGCACACACCCACCCACACTGATGGGAATCAGGGGTAGACTGGCGTTCAATATCTCAAACACTTTCAGACTTTCTCACTGACTTTATCCACATCAGCACTTAGTTTTAACATCTGTGTATTTAGAGCAAGCGTTGCTCTTGAAACTTGGAGAGGCTTTTACATGATGTGGGTCACTGGGAACATAATTTACTTGGTGAAATAGTAGAAACAGGAAGTGTTATGTGACGAGAACAAGCTTATGGTAATATGATGACAAGGTCACTGGCCTCAGGTTTTTACTGTTTTATTTTATTTTTATTCTTGGTTAATATGTTTGAGTTGGGCTTCTGTGGTGTTTTGTCACTCCAAGTGTTTGAAATGTTCATTTTTTGTGGCTGCTGGATTTCTGGGTTTCTATTTTGATTTCTTTACTCTGGTAAAATGCAAGTTTTGTTTCTAGTGACATCTTTGCGTCTTTAATTCCTGTTTTAGTATGTGGTTGTTCCAGTAATGAGTTTCAGTTTTGTATCCCATGTTTTGGTTCATGTTTTGGTTTCTGTTGGTAGTAGTTAAAGTTCCCTCAGTGTTTCCCTATCTGCTCTTCTCTCTGTGCCGCTGTGTATCATCCAGTGTTCCTTAGTCTTTGTCGTAATGTTTACTGTAAGTCTTCTTCTCTACATGTTCAGTGTGTTTCCTTATCTTGTACTTGTTCAGTCGCCTTTGGTTATCTCCTGATTTATTTTGAAGGTTTCTCTTACTTTCTGTCCTGCGTTTGTTATGCTTCCTATTTGTCTGCTAATTGTCCTGACTAACCCCCCCCCGTGTTTAGTCCACTGTTTTTGTGGATTACTGTTTATTTATTCCACTGACTATGTTATTTTTCAACCGACTATTACATCCTATTAGTAAAAACACATTTAAATTGGTCTTCAGCTTTTTGGTGCCCTCTCTAATTGGTGAAAATTCTTTAACATGGTTTTGTAAGACCTTACAGTCCTTCATAGTGACATTATTCCCAGTGATTTCTTTCAGCAGGACAATGTGACATTGCAAAATTGATTAAGCATGGTCTAAACATGCCAAAGAGAAACCACAGACCTCGATTCAATCAGATCAAACATCTATGTATAGTATGTCGGCCACTGGTTACAGGACTTAAAGGATCTGCTGCTTGAACAGGACACTTTTAGATGTTGTGTGCCTCCAAAGGTCAAAGCTGTTGGAGTGTATCATTTTAATCTGTTAGAGGAATCCTGCTGACTGTGATTGATTCATAAATTTATATAGTGCCAATTCTTAACAACAGTTATCTAAATATTGCTTTAGTAGGTTAAAGACACTTTTAGAAAGAAAACATCAAAGTTCAGTCAGTCCCCTATGACAAAGCACCTGGCAAGAGTGGGAAAGGAGAACGCCTTTTAAACAGGAAGGGGTCTTCAGCAAAACCAGGTAGGGGAAGCCATTTACCTTGTTTAGTTGGAGGTTTGAGGGGACCAAAAATATGAGGAAAAAAGAATGGTGTGGGATTTACTGCTGTATCTGCTGAAGTTTAATTAAAAAAAAATATGTCTGATAAATTCTGGTAAACTTCTGAACAACTGGACCCTCCTGGGAGGAGGAAAAAAATTCTAATTTAAGGTATGTCTGCTACTTTTCAGGCCCGGAAACTACATCGATATTTTATATACAGTCTGTGAGTAAAAAGAAGGACATCATTCCACATTATTAATCCAAGTGCATATTTCATGCCTAAAATCAAAATGTTAGACGATGTCAAGTGACCCATGGTGATCAACTTGATACTTATAGAAAGGTACTTTACAAAAATTAAGCCCATAAAAAGAAACTCCAAACTGTCTCAAACTCTTTTATCAATAATCATGATGAAACTTATCAGAACCAAACGTATTTTAATTGAATATGAGAAGTTTTACTTATACTTTAAAAACATTTCGACATTTCATCTTATTTCTGTTCAAACATAAAGCCAAAAATCTTATTCGCCCCCTGGTGGCTGGTTGCAGTACAAGCCATTAACCACGCCCCCTCAATGTTACTCGGTGAGATAAATTAAACTATAATTGAAGTACTTAAAGCTTAAACGTAGAGCTTCTGTCTTATTAAGCTCGTACATCATCGTAAATGTGTTTCTGATGATGACGCTAATTTGTCCTCTAGTAACCTCAGATGTGTCAGTTATGATCGGAGTCCCATCTCTGCGTGTCAGTCAGACACGTCACACGAGAGTTAAAAGCGCCGCAGATCACAGCTGCCGTGGAAGTATAAATTTAACAAGCCCATCAGACTTATTTTCCCCCCTGCCTGTCTGTTTTGACTCGGCTGGCTTCCCGTTAGGAGGAGGAGGAGGGTGAAGAGAACGAGGAGGAGGAGTGTGTTACCCGGGGTGAGGTTCCGACCCCAGCTGAACCAGTGAGCGGGGGAAGGAACGGCAGGGAGATGCGGTGTGTTGAGGAGCGGAAACGTCTGAATGACCGGCAGAGATTTGCAGTCTCCTCTCCGAGCCAGAAGGTTTTTATCAGTTTGCAGCTGCTTGATTTGTAAGTAATATACATTTGCGGCTTTTAAAGTAACCTTTACAGTCATTATTTTATCCTGTTAAGATACGTGTGCTATATTTTATTATTCTGTGTGGGGTAAACATGAAGAACTAAATGACCCATTACACATTTATGGCCATTTGATGCCAGTAAATCAAAGTTTTCATGTATAATTTTGGACAGAATCAAATAAGACATCTGGTATTTCTAAGTTTAAGTGAAGGAAGATTCATCCAGCTTTTGTTTGTAATTATTCATTTTGAAAGCTTTTCCCTTTAAATCTTGTATTTAAAAATATTTTCCTGCTAACATTAATTTGACAATCGGTTTAAATTTTACAACATTACAAATTTTCATCTCACCACGTGGATTCTTTTTTTTTCTCCTCTAGGTGGAGCCATTACAGCATATTTCACCGGGAGCTGCCAGCCCTACAGCTCCTTGCAGTCAGGAGTGAGTGAACATGACGGGTCAGACTGTGGGAGGCGTCATCCAGGATCTGTCGGTGCCCTCTCTGCTGGGTGTGGGGTCCAGGCCTCAGGGGGAAACCGGCTCCTTCACCGAGGAGGCTGTTTCCATCCTGACCTCCACGAGTCAGCTGGCCCGAAGCCTCCTGGGTCACACGTTTGCCTTCAAACGCAAAGACAGCTTTAACAACGCTGAAGCCATGGCTGGCAACAGCTGTGACGAAGACAGCGGTAATAATGCACGTCGCAAACGGGAGTTCATCCCTAATGAGAAAAAAGATGATGGCTACTGGGACAAGAGGAAAAAAAACAACGAGGCAGCTAGACGCTCCAGAGAAAAGCGGAGAGTCAATGACATGGTGCTGGAGAGGCGGGTGATGGGTCTGCTGGAGGAGAACGCCCGCCTCAGGGCCGAGCTGTTGGCCCTCAAGTTTCGCTTTGGGCTTGTTAAGGACCCCTCTAATGTGTCCATCCTACCGTTGACTGCGCCCTTCTGTCCTCATCCCACCCCCAGATCAACAAATCACTACCAGGCTCACACTGATGGCTCCCCATATGTCGGCACACAGGCCAGTGCCAACACTCACCAGATCCTCTCTCAGGCTCCGCAGCAGCGCGCCATCTATGGTGCAAGAACAGCTGAGTTGAGTCATAGTAGATCGCAGGAGACTGGGGTTGTGACCTCATGTGGCTCAAACGTGGGTAGCCCTGTGTTTTTTGATGACACACTGGGTGAGAGTGGCAGGCCTTCTCCGAGGGATGTGACGGAGGAGCAGCAGTGCTGTGAGAGTCAGTATTTAAGCAGGCAAGACTCATCGGAGGGTTTGAGGAGTCTTCCACACAAGCTTCGTTTTAAAAGCCCTGGGGGAGGCAGCAACGGAGGGGAAATTTCTGCATCACCTGACAGCAGGAATAGTGGCCTGCCTATAGCCATGGTGGGACCAAACATCCAAATGAGAAACCACCAGCAAGTGGGGTGGGACGGCCAGGTGGAGAGCCAGGCTTCTTGGTCTAGAGAGGATGCCTGGGGTGTGCAGTATCAGGGTTCACCTTCAGGATATAATAACTCATCTTGTCCGCAGAATTCAAGCGACCACAGATATCCAGCAGAGGACAACAGCCTCAGGTCGCAGATCAGCAGTTTGTCCCAGGAAGTGGCTCAGCTCAAGAAGCTCCTGTCTCAACAGCTGCTTCCTAAGATGGCCTAAAACCAGATGAGGGGACGGTCAGATCCACACCATATTTCCCCAAATAATCAAACTCATTTTCCCAGAGTGGGATGAGCATAAGCAGCTACCTCTGAAATGGCATGACATTTTTTAGTGGCCTGTTTGCTCCAGTGATGAACAATACAGCAGGAGCAGAATTAAGGAAAGTCATCACGTATACGCAACACTGTATGTACTGGACTGAAACACAAGAATGTGTCCATCATCTGCAAAAACCTCTTTCTCATCAGATTCAACCTCATCTTCAATCTTGTCATATTTCGAGACACCTGGCACTTATTTTGTGTGTAAAATTGAGCTGTTATGACGTTTTGGAGTGTACTGTGGTTTTTGTGCCATTCACTATCGTAACCTCGATGTTACTTTTCAAAACTGTGAGTGCACTCAACTGTGTGGAAATAAAATCCTGCTTTATGTAAACCACTGTGAGCATTTTTCATGATAAGAAATTGCAATTTTTTTTACTACAATTTAAAATCACAAACAATCTGCATTTGGTTTTGCACTCACACACATCCCCATCTGTTTAATAATCATCACAAATAAGTGTCAAATTCTTACATTAATCCTAACCTAAAAGTTGGCTTTTAATACTAAAACCAAGGCTTAACCCTCAACACACCTTAAAGGGGTTTTTAAGGGTTTATTTGAAGGTATTTAATAGTTTAATTGTCTTTAATTGATATTTAATCATCTTTATCTTTGGCTACCTTAGACAGTCAACTTAAATGTTGTTTGGACAACCCATCGGCCTGCATATGCACAATCACAAACACTGAAAACTCCAAATAAATTTAGACTGATCATAGTTTAACAGTGAATGACTGTGTTGCATTTTTCTGAATGACAGATATTTTTAAGAAAATGATTTTTAAGCCACATCTGGCACTAATGCTGGGCACAACAGGAGCTATGGTGTGGCACTGGACCTGTGTAGGGTCCACTGTGCCAGACTTTGAATGTTGCAATCCGGCTCAAAAGCTGCAACATAAATATGGAGACTAACACCAGAATTTCACAGAGACAAGGTTTTATTTTAAATAACATAACAAGTTAGATAAAAAGCTAGTACCACTAAGACAAAGACTAGTGAGGCTCCATGAAAGCCTGCCTCAGGTATACCTTTATCCACACCTGACTAGGTGTAGTCAATTAGCTGCAGCTGAAGACGCTTGCATTGCCAATGCAAAGAGATTAGGGGCTGCAGAGGGGTGTAACAACCAAAGTTTTCTTCTTTCCATAAACTAATATCATTTCAGTTTTGTTTATGGCCTTTCCTCCTTCAACAAATACTTTAAAACTGTAAACACCACCTCACTGTTGATCCATTTGCACTGAGTTAAGGATACTGAAAAAAATGGACAGTGGAGTGTGTGGGACAGAGCTGGGGAGAGAGGGGTGAATGCAGGGAGAGCGGTGTGACACTGCATGAGTCATCTATCACGTCAGCAGCAGAAAAGCTATTTTTAGCCTCGAAGCAGCTGCGGTGGAGACTGAACGACCCACATGGAAGTGAAGGATATAGGTTCAGAATACATTAGTAACACAAGAAAACAATAGAAATGAGCTCGCAGACATATGAAATGTAATAGTAAAACACACTCTGAGAACAGCACAGAGCCAGAAAGCAGTTGTAGATAAAATGAATGATTGCATTTTGTCTCAGAAGATGGCTGAATGGCATAATTCTGTATTCTTGGAAAAATCCATTTTCACTTTTAGTTTGTTTTTTACCAGCACCAGGTGGCGCCAAGTGTCTTTAGCAGCATGCTGTATGACTTTCATTCAGTCATTCCATTCATTCACAGCAGTGTTACTCCTTTGTGCTTACTACAGTAACACATGCTGCACACGCACAACAACAAGATTTGCAAAGCATTGTTTACTGACTTCTTTCACCCCACAAAGCACAGTGCGAGTATGAGGCAAGAAAACAAAATGAAAACAAACTGAACAAAACAAATTTGCTTGCTCATTTTTTAAAAGCACATTTCATTTCAGGTGGAAACACAATGAGCTGCACAAAGCATGAGCTATAATCGGGTTTACAGTCACAAAATCATTTAGAAAACAGACATAAGTGAATAAATACATAGAAATGATTAAGGTGAGGGAAGGGAGGTGTGGCATATGACTTGTCTCCCCCAAAACAACCAAAAAACAAAAATAGTAAATTGGATTCAAGAGATAAATCAATTTAAGAAATATGATTTTAAAGAGATCTTTATTAAGACAACAATAGACCAGCAAAAATTGGTAAGTGGTGTGTAGTTGTGATTGAGTAAGGACCAAACCAAACAGTAACAGTACTAATAACAGTCATATTGACCTCAAAAACTGTGGCTTAAAGCTTAAATATGAGGTTATCTCTCTGCAGACCTGTGCAGCTGCAGAGACCCATCCTTTAGGTCTCTCGCTTTCTCCCCAACAAAACCGCAACATACTTATGAGATCTTTTGTCTGTGATTAGACTGCTACCGCCCCCCCACCACCACCACTCCACCCATACCATAAGCCATATAAGATGGAGTAGAAGGGTTGCTAGGCAGACACCACCACACCACAGTTGCCAGGGGAATGCCTGCATGCAGAGGCAGCTAGAGAAATGGAGGAGTGTGTTGGGGGTTGGTGGTTCTAAATGAGGACTGGTGGTGGGAGGGGGAGGAGCCAGACAAGTTCAAGGCCGCTGTTTCCCCTGCATGGTAATGGTGGTGGTGGTGATGATGTGTGTGCGTGTGTGTGTAACTGGTGTACATGTGTGGATTCAGATAAAGCAGGGGGAAGGGACACGAGTGTGAAAGTGGCTTGGAAGTGGCTGTGTGTCTGATACAAAGCAGGGCTGACGTAACGGTAGATGAAAAATGGTGAGGATGAGAACAACGGGTTTTGTGGGATAATAGAAAAAGCTCCTATGCAGATTCCACTTCCTGTATAGAGAAATAAAAATGCAGACAAAACAAATTTATGATCATTTTTAGTCTGTGAGAATAAAATTCTGCCTTACTGCCATGAGTAGTGAGATTATTTCACTTTAGGGTTTTGCAATAACAGTAATTATTCCAAAAATCTTAGTGCAATGATCAAATATAATGCAATCAAAAGCTTAATGAATATAGAATTTATGTAAAGCTTTAAAAAAGTAAAAATCAATTACTACTACATCCAGGAGAAATGTATATTAATGCTAAAGTCAGTGCTTCCAGTTAGAAACAAAGCAGATTCTACATTAAACTCAGTGTCTTTTCAGGACAAACTGATGTTACATTTTTCCAAATTTCTCATTTTTATGTTTGTCACATCCATTTGTGCAGCATAAGCCATCCAGGTATATTGTATCATAAAAATCTTCTTACATCAAAGAAAAAAGCAGCATGAATAACAGTGCTGCAGGCCATTTGGGGTTGAATGGTCCCTTTAAAATAATAATAATTTGAAAAATTACCGCAGGTTTTATCACAATAAAACTAACACCTCAATGTGTAAAACAGTATAAAATATGGTTGGATTGAAGGGTTAAGATTAGGGTTAACAAACTGCCCCTCCATGCATACCCAGATACAAATGACCCCTAATATCTAACACACACACAGACTCATTCACCCTGGTATTGTAACTGCTATCTAAGCATTGAATTTTCATATTAATAGCCTTTATGCAAAAATCTGTTGCATATATGCTTAAAAATGGAACATGCATTTATGTGGGTTTAAATTATAGGGAGAATGTGCAGGTAGAAGAGGGAAATAATTACAGGCCTGGATTTAAACTCACCGGCCTATGGTTCCACAGTGAAGGAAGGAAGGAAGGAAGGAAGGAAGGAAGGAAGGAAGGAAGGAAGGAAGGAAGGAATCAGAATCAGAATCAGAATCTTATCTGTCATTGTAGAGGTGGAGCTCTCTCAGTGAACAAGAAGAAACAGTCACTCAATAAAATTAAAATTAAATTAGAACATATATAAAAATATGGGAAGGTAGATAAAGAAAGATGAATAAAAAAGAAAATAGTAAAGTTGTTACTTTCACTCATATTTCATACTCCACAAAGAATATTAGTATATACCTAAATGTAATAGTGTAGTAGTAATAGGACAACGTGTTGGAATTGAGTTCAAACTCCCATATTTGCAGGCAATCAGTGACAAAATCCAAAGTCTTCCTCTGTAAATAATTGAAAAAACACCAAGAAAAAAACACTAGTGTACAGTATTTCCTTTGCCATACCATGAAGTCCAGGTTAGCCCTAAAATTAAATTTTGCATCACAAGAAAAGCACGTGAAAACTGATTTTTACTTCTTTAAGTGAACGTACTTACTAAAGCACCCAATGTGCTCTTATTTTGTGAGAAATAGTTTTGGATCAAATTAATATTAATAATAAACAAATAAATAAACAAGCCAGAGTGGTAAACAAACATCAGTTATTATTATAATTTTTAATGAAACTTTTGTTTCCCAGTATGTGTAATACGCTTCATCCTATATATTGTCAGTTAACAATGAGTGTGTTTTCCTCCCTCTTCTTTCGTTTCCTTGGTGTCATTCGTTTATTTATACGGGTGTTTCTGATGATTAACAGGTCGTGCTGTTGTTGGGCCATGGCGTCTGTTTAAAGGCATTCGTGGCCTCGTTAGAAAATCTTGTAAATGAGACGACATTACAACGTGGAGTAAGGAAGAACCCGGAGATTAAGGGGCGGGCAGGAGAACAAAAAGAGAGGGGCTAATAACACACACAGAGAGGGGGGTGAGAGAGAGAGAGAGTCTCGCGCGGAGAGACAGTGGACAGAAACGTGACTAGGCAGCCTAAGAGCTGTTATGCAACTGCTGACCTACTAACACATATTTCTAGAAAGGGAACCGGAGAAACTGGAGCAAAGTGTCCTGCAGCGCACAACACACGGGCAGTCCGAGCCAAAAGACAGAAAGGACATCCAGCCGACCCACTGACTCAACGACAGCTGACCCGAGCAGCGACAGGAAAAGGAGAAGAAAGTTTTTTTTTCTCAGTCGGGAGGTTTCTTCTAAAGGGACACGGGAAGGAGGAAACGGGAGCGAGACAGCTTTTGTGTCGGGGAAGCCTGAATGTTTTCGTCCCTCTCCTGCGTGGAAAGGTAGGTTATAACTGAGCGGCTGGCTGCCGTGTGCTGTTTCTATCTGCCTATTTGCATGTTTTTTTAAATCATTCTGTGCGGGTAGATACGTCTCTGGGTGTGTGTGAGTGTGTTTTGAGGCGAGGACGTGATGCTCATGGCCGGTTATTGTTCACATGGCGACTCTCGGCTGCGCCGGCAGATCCCGCGTCCCTCCGTGACTTTCAGCCGTATGCGGCTCTTTTTGTGTCACGTAAAACACGCAGCTCACCGGGCAAGTGTGATACTTCAGTTGGCGTTTTGTTGCCTTTTTTGTTTCTTTGATGCTTT